ATAGAAGCACGATGTTTTAAAATAAAGTGCAGGAATATGGATTTTTAAGTATTACATGGATGATTCTAGTGATTAGCTAGTAACGGTTGGGAAGTGCTGGTCTATTTTGTGCCAACATTTGCAGAACACTGAGAACACGGACATGAATAAAATACTGTCGATTCTACTCCTGCCTTATAAGACAGGTCTCTGTCCTGGAAAACCTGCCAGTCAGGTGGAAGGGACAGGCAAGGAAATATACAAAACCAGACATCTTAGAGAAATAGATATAAAGTGAGGTTGCGACACAGAGATAGAAAGGACCAACTCACTCTTGGGAAAAGCAGGAAGCTTCTTAGAAGATGGTGCATTTGAAATGAGATATAAAGGACTTGGGGGTTTCTCAAATGAAGGGGGTGAGAAAAGACATTCCAAGTGTAGACTTGAGCCTCTGGCTCCCACTGGACTTAGCCAGCAAGTCTAAGAGGTGCCTGAGTTATAAAGATTGGGGCACTTATACTGTGGGGCCAGGCTCTTAGATGTGTCTGAGGTGGAAACTGATGTTCATCATTTATGTCACTAATGTACACCTGTTTCATATATCATTTTCATTTCATTCAATCAGACATTTCCTGGGTGCCTTTGTACCTAGGAGACATTCTCAAACAGAATTTGCAATGGGAACACATAAGAGGGACAAAAATTCTCTCAAATTTGAAGCCCAAGAAAAACTTCCTGAGAAAGATGATGCTAAAGTTAGTCTTAAAAGTTAGAGTTCTCATAAAAACGAGAAAAGGCAGAAAAGGGCTGAATTGTTTTGCGAGTATTACACAATGCATGGAGATGAGAGTGAATTCTACACATGCAAGGACCTTCATGTCCTATGAGGCTGGACCATGGCATTGGGTAAGAGATGGTGGTTATGAATTAGCCTGGGGAGGAAGGTCTGTTTCAGGCTGTTAAAAGATTTCTTATGCTCTGCTGGAGTCTGAACTTCATGTAGGCGGCATTGGGAAACCCTAATTATTTAATGCAGGGCAGATGAGGTCTGATTTACTTTTCCAAAAGGTCATTCTGAGCACATATATCTTTTTTTTTTCAGCAGAATTGTAAACATCCTCTAAACAGACATCACATCTTGATTCATTTCTTTTTGTTTCACCAGCAAGTGCTTAGCAGAGTAAGTGGCACACGTTTTGAGAGGTCAATAGTTAATGGATTCATTAATTGATTGGGAGGTACAAACCCATCCTTGAGTGAATGCTATAATATGGACTCTATATCCTATGCTGTGGCTAATATTTGGATATCTCAAGCAATCTTAAGCCATGTTTCTTAATTTTAACATGCACACAAATCACCTGGGGATCTTGTTAAAACAGAGTTCTTAATTTATTATATCCTGGGTAGGGTCTACGATTCTGCACTTGTAACAAGCTCTCGGATGTTGCTGTGCCTGCTGCTGATGTGGATTTCCAATTGTGAGTGGCCAGGATCTTAACACTCAGTTGCCTTATTCAGGAAATCTCTGATAGTGGGGTTGTTTATGAACTGTGAAACTTTCTACAGGGATTTTAGAAATGGAGAAGTTCCACCATGAGAGACTCCTCCTTGACTAAGACTCCACACAGCTCCTTTGGGACTGGTTTTGAAGGCGATGGCAGGTCTTTCATGCCCCTGGGACAAACATTGATATTATTTGCCTTTAAGGGAATTTCTGGTGCTGCTGCCAGTTTCTTCTTTGCTCTGCCAAGTATTGAGTTCCACAAGAAAAATCCATTAGTAACAGCAGAGTTGATAATAGAACAGCAGATAAAGTCAAAGGACTCTAAAAAACAGCGTGCTATCAGTGTGTAATTTGTTTAGGCCTATGTAGAATAAAGTCCTTTCTCATGAATTTTCAAGTTTGAAATTTGATTATAAACCAGTTTGTCATTTCTTGATATTTTCCTTTTCTTCCCTGTTCATTTTTACATACTTAATTGTCATATAATGGCATTCTGGATGTCCCTTGGACCTCGCCAGCGTGTAGACACAAAGACAGCCACATCAGTTAGGCTGAATTCTTCTGGCTCAATGCCACTCATTACTGTGAGCAGGAGCTTTGTTCTCTGACCTCTCTTGTGACTCTCAGAGAAGCCCCAGGCTATGCTCGATGTTAGTGTAGGCGGTTGCTTACACTTTTTTCATCATCCAGCAATGGACCCCCAATGTCTGCTCCATCCTCATATGGCTTCCAACAATGCTGCCCTGGCATCCACTCCATGCATGGGTAGGGACATCCCTCCCTTGGACTGAAGCTGACCTTTCTGAGCCTAAGCTGGTAGGCAAATACTGTCTTTTCTGAGCCTAAGCTGGGAGACACTCGAGGGTAGCAGTAAAGGGAATTGTCTCTGGAGATGGAATGCCACATATCAGCTATGTGATTTGTGCAAGTTGTTGAATCACTCTAAACCTCCGATTTCTTACCTGTACAATGAGAATAACTAGAGTTCTATAATCTCAAGATTGCTGAGAAAATCTTGTTGGCACAAGATTATTGTTGGCACATATAAAACAATACATGCTAACCATCATTCACTGGTTTTCTCTTTATCACCGTGTCCCAGCCTGGGCAAGCTTTATTTTTATTTCACCACAACACAGCTGAGACCAGTTAATAACATCTAATATGACATGGCTGATGGCTCAGGAATAAGAAGAAGGGATTAAAATCAGAGGAAAGTGCAGCTGCTATTTAATATGGAGGCTCTCAGCTGCAATAGCCCCAGGGGTACGCTTCTGGAGGTGTCTTTCAGGGACCTTCTTGCCTCCCTGCAGGACTGTCTTTGTCAGAAGACATCTTTGCCATAAGTCAAAAGAATATCCTTGAACTTATATCAACTCCTTTTAGTCCAAGCTTGGAGATGAGAATTGTTATCTTGGGGTTCATTTCCTTTTCTGGCATCATCTCCTTCTCAGGGTTTTCTTACCCCACTGCCTCTAAAATGATTTTTCTAAAACATATTTATTACTTCACTTTCTCCTGAAAACCACAGGTTGTCCCCCTGGCACTTAGGACACAAAATTCCTATTCGCACAAGAGGTTCTTTATGTGTGCTGATCTTTCTTTGTGAGGTGCACTTTTCTCCTGGTTTTTTCTTTTTTCAGAAAATGTCCATTCAGTGCTCATGGCCCGGATAAAACCTGACTTCCTCTGTGGATTCTTCCTGGAATTGTCTGGCACACTATATCCCCAAATCTCAGCCAGGCTTCCTCCTCCAGGCCCCATGACACTCCGCACCTTACTGCATTAACATCATAACATGTCATAATTTTCCTCCAGTTCTGCCTCTCCCATTAAAGTTGTGCTCTGTGAAAAGGGATGCTTTATCTTATTAATTGTAGTATCCAGTGTGGCACACAGTATCTGGTCATATGGGTGGCCGGTGAATAAACTAATATTTACTGGGCATTTTGTGGGCTTCCCGTTCATCTATTCTGATAAGTACTGTAGATCTGTGAGATAAGTAGGGCCGGTATTACTCTGATCTCCAGTTTATATATGAGAAAAGGAGGTTCACAGAGTCAGGTACCTTGTCCACAGTCACTGGGTCAGCTAAGCCAGGTAAAAGAAGATAGATTTGGACTCAGACCTTTAACTTTAATTCCAGTGTCCACTTTCACTACTTTGTGCTGTTTCCTTTGGACAGAAACTAAATTCTGGTAGATAAAGGGGAACACCTAAAGGAAGACAAGACAAGGGACTAAGGAAATGTTGGGGAAGATGAGAACACACTTAGAAACCACAATTGAAGAATTCCTAGGACTCCCAGGTAAAGCTGCTTGGGTGTAATACATCCTTGGGCATATTGTTGACTGACTTTTAGGCTTGAGGGAAGACTTTGTTTTAAACAAGGTGGATGGAAATGAAGGTGTGGAGAAACACCATGAGAAAGATTTTAATGCAAAGCCAACCCAAGCACCATCTCTCAGAGCCTCATTTCTTTTCAGCAGCTCTCTGGATTGTTCTAAGAGGTGATGGGTAATTTTATAAAAGTCTTAAGCTGTTGTTAAGAGATCTTTTTAAAGCTGAAGGCAAAACAAACAAACATGATATCCTACAAAGCTGAGAATAAGCTTCAGAGAGAGGGAAGGCAGCAGAAATAGTTACTGGGATGGGGAAAGAGATCGCAATGTACCTTGTCTCAAGCCCTGTGAACGCTGTCGCCTCACCCACTTGCAAAGTCCCGTGGGCAGCCTGAGCTTGGCTAAGAGGGGAGGCAACAGAGACGCCAGGATGGGAGAGCTCGGAGCTATTTCGGACTCCAGGCCAACATCCACGGAGACCTTGAGTTACGTCATCGGAACTGTCTGGACTTTGGTCCCCTTATGCCAAATGCGGTTTCCGGAAAAAGGATCCTCAGCGTATTTGGAAGCTCATCAACTAAAAGTTGTCTCGTCACTTTCATGCGTGAGATCTTTTCATTTGTGAAGAGCATATTATTTTGCTTAATTATGGGCTGTGAGGAGACGGCATAGAGCAGTGGAAAAAGCCTGGGCTCTGGAGTCAGAGAGACCTGGGTCTGAATCATGGTTCTGCCATCCACCAGCTACAGGACACTGGCCTGGTGGGCCTGCTTCCTTGTCCATAAACTGAGAATAATCTTGCAATAATTAACTATCTTAGAGGGAGGTTGTTAGGATAAGATAATAAATGCACGTCAAGAATCTTGTTCTGCTGTTCAGATATTGAATCATCATTCGCCATTATTAATAAAGTATCTGACTTTTAATACAGTAACATTTAGCATATGAGATTTCTCATTCACTCTAACAGTATGGGTATAGTGGTATACATAATCTCCTTTTGCTTGTGAATACTGCTAATATTAAATTCCCATTTCTCAAAGACGTTTTCTTATATGGAGTCTTACTGATGATGATTTTCAGCACCCTGACAATTTGTTGTTTTTAAATACTTACAGTTTATTTTGTAATCATCTATGCCATAACTAATTACACTTTTTTTTTTTTCCAAGGAAAGGGGCATATCCAGAAAGGAGATAAGATCGGAAGCCTTTATTTCCACCATTCAGTCACTCACTGCCTGAGACTTAACTTCATTTCAAGTAAGGGGATAATATTTGGCCCCTATGTATCTTACAAGGGTTGTTTCCCTAAGAAAAAAAATTAGGTAAGATCATAAGTGAGAAAGGAGTTTTTGAATTAAAAATATATACAAATGCAAGTTATAACAATTTTTGTTCTGGATATTTTTGCAGCAGATAGAAAAGTTCTTTGTGCTGTGGCCACCTGCCTAATGCTGTTGACTGGCTGGTAATAGATGCCTGGGAGTCATTTTGAGGTTACTTAGAGCCTCTTTCCACCACCAGATGGAAGGAAATTGGGCAACTTCTTGAGTAATTGGCTCTTCTGACTCACGTTTCTTGCATTGTGACCTGGGTGCTACCCAGGATGAGCAAGGAATTTCCTCTCTGGAGTTGTTTAAGGAATAGCCCTAAACATTCAGCTTCATCTTTTTTTAATGCCTCCTCTAACACTATCTGAGCAGCCACAGAAAAGTATTTGCTGCTGCCGTATTTCAGATCAGCTGAGATATATTTTGAGTAAGTACTCTGGGAAAGGCACAGAATACCATTTCTTTGCTGAGGTTCTCTTCAAGGATTTCCATCCCCCCTTAAAGACCTAATTGGGATGGAGCAATGTATTTAGAACATGATGTGAGTACCAACAAGGAGTCAGGAGACACCTTTCAGCTGTACTTCTTTATCTTTCCCCCCTTGCTTCCTCTGTCTCTGGTTTGCCCTTTTGCATCTCTTCTTTTTCCTTTCTTTTCTTGTATTACTTTCTCTTGATCAATAGACCTGCCGTAGCCTTCCCAGACATAAATTATCAGCTTCCTTAGAAGTCCTCGGAATGTGAACAGTTGTAGCCAGTTAGTCCAGGTCTTAGATTCTCACCCCTTGCTGTGTATGTAATTATCCAGGGAGCTTAAAAGGTACTGAGCCATGGGCATCCCTGGGGGGTGGGATGGGCCCTAGACCTGGTATTTTCAAAAACTTTCAAAAATGATTCTAAAACATATGCAGGTTAAACTGGTTGCAGACACTCAGGAAGCAAAAATATGACAAAACTACCCTAAAAGTAAAATAAAATAAGATTTTTGGCTCAAAGTGCAGTAATCCTGTTATCTGGCCACCTTATTTGTGTCCTATTCATCAAATAAATGGATTTGTTTTGTTTTTTGAGAACCACAGAAAGAAAAAATTGGTCATGCCCAGGCAAATCTTACAGGTGAGTTCTACATTTAAGGCAAGTGGCCATAAAACACTTCTACAGCTAATATTTGTTGAGAGCATGTTCTGAGTCATGTGCTATGCAGAATACGTTTACCATACATTGTCTCATTTAATCCTCTCAACAACTCTGAGGCATTATTATTCTTCTGGGTTTACAAATGAAGAAAGAAAGGCACCAAGCAATTGCTTAACTCGCTCAGCACCTGACCACTAGTTAGAAGTGGAGCTGGGAGATGTGAGTATAAGCAGGTAGACTGCAGAATCTCCCTGTTAATCATCGTGTTATATCTCCTTTACACTGTGACAATTAAGGTAAAATTACAAAAATTCTTGAGAGCAGTAGTTCTCAATCTTGCCTGCATAGTAGAATCGTTGGGAGAGTTTTGGGGAAAAAAAAAAAAGAAATCCTTTGCTCGGGTCATGTGATCAACCAATTTAATCCATATCTGATATGGTTTTGCTGTGTGCTCCTCGAACTCTCATCTTGAATTGTAGCGCCCATAATTCCCACGTGTTGTGGGAGGGACCCAGTAGGAGATAATTGAATCACGGGGGCAGTTTCTCTCATACTGTTCCGGTGGTAGTGAATAAGTCTCACGAGATCTGATGGTTTTTCAAGGGAAACCCCTTTCACTTGGTTCTTATTCTCTCTTGCCTGTTGCCACGTAAGACATATTTGCCTTCCGCCATGATTGTGAGGCCTCCCCAGCCACATGAAACCGTGAGTCCATTAAACCACTTTTTCTATATAAATTACCCATTCTTGGGAATGTTTTTAGCAGCATGAAAATGGACTAATGTCATATCTCTCAAGAATGTGACTCTTGGGAGGCCAAGGTGGATGGATCACTAGGTCAGGAGTTCTAGACCAGCCTGGCCAACGTGGTGAAACCTTGTCTCCACTGAAAATACAAAACTTAGCTGGGCGTGGTGGCGGGCACCTGTAATCCCAGCTACTTGGGGGGCTGAGGCAGGATAATCGCTTGACCCCAGGAGGCAGAGCCTGCAGTGAGCCGAGATTGTGCCACTGCACTCCAGCCTGGGTGACAGAGCAAGACTCAGTCTCAAAAAGAAAAAAACAAAAAATTAGACCCAAGCATTTTAAAAGTGTGCCCGAGGTGACTCTATGTTATAATCAAGGTTGAAAAGTACTGGATTAGAGGAATGAGAACAATACAGATGAGAATCATCAGGGAAAGCTTCACAGGTGAAGTGTTCCCAGAACTTGTCCTGTGGCAGGCAGAATAATGTTCTCCCTGACCCAAGATGTCCACATCCTAATCCTTGTGACCTTTGAGTATGTTACCTTCCATGACAAATAGGAAGTAAGATTGCAGATGGAATGAAGGCTGTGAATCAGCCCACCTAAAATGGGAAAGTAGCTTGGGTTATCCAGGTGGACCCAATGTAATCTCATGGGCCCTTAATGGAAGAGAGAGAGAGAAATGAGAGAATCAGAGAGTCAGTGGCCTCAGAAGGACTTGGCCCAATATTACTGACTTTGAAAATGGAAATGGACTCTAGGAATGCAGGTGGCCTCTAGAAAATGAAGAAGGTCAGGAAGCAGATTATCCCTCAGAGAGAGTAACCAGAATGGACATGTTTTGGCCAACATGATTCTAATCCAGTGAGACCCATTTTGGGCTTCTGACCTCCAGAATTACATGGGGAAAAAAAATTGTAGTGTTTCATGATGTTATTTGGCATAGAAAATAAGTTGTATTTTTAAGAATTTGTATGAGACTGTTAGTGTTAATCAAGAATAACTGGTTGAAATAAAAATAATAAACGTAGTAATGATTTTGAGAAAAAAGTATTGTTAAAGCCACTGTTCGTGGAAATTTGTTTCAGCAGGAAATTAGTACAGTGGCTTAATAAAAAGGGAGAATTTAGAGAAAATATATGGTGGGAATGAAAAATATGTATTTAGCTACAGATTACATTTTTATGTTGAAGCACAGCATATATTTTGGAGAATTACACGAAGCCCTTGATAGCTAAGCAGAAAAATGTGGTTATAAGAACAGAGGAGGCAAATGTACTGGAGTTTACTAATAACAAGGTATGTTGTGGATCATACATGTACTAGGCACCTACATATCTGCTCTATGAAATCCCTCTACAATGTAGACATTTGTAACTTGTAGCTGAACCATGATTCAAACTCAAGGCTCTGGACTCCAGAATTAGTGTTCATTCCAGTTACCACACTGTGTGCCTTTCCTCCTTGCTAAGACCATTTGGAACGCTAGTGATTTTTCTTATCTCCCTGAAGCACATGGCAAGGAACTGTGATCTCACAGAGGACCTCATGGTGCAGAGACAAAGAGTTCTTGTACAAGTTTCTTAGAGGAAAAAATAAGTGGTGATAACTAGGATGTTTAAAGAAAATTGACCTGACAGTTACGTGCAAGAAGGATTGTAGTTGGTGAACCTAGAGGCAGGCAGAACAGTCAGGAAGTTCGACAATAACTTAGGCTCCTGAGGGTTTGAACTCTGAGTGGCAGTGGATGTGGGAGTGAAGGGGAGATGAATTCAGGAAACCTTGAGAAGAAAATCAGTTGAAGGGAAGATAACTTGCTTGAGAAGGGCAAAAGAACGGCATAGTCAAGGACAATTCCAGGTTTTTAAGTCTGGCAAGATGAAAAGATGTTTGGTGGTGTCCCTGACAGAACTGGTAGTGTTGGAGAAGGTAAGAAGTTTGGTGGGGGGGGGTGGTCAGGTGGTGTAAGGTAATAATAAAAATCTTTTACATAATAAAAGGTTTGCCTGGCCTCTGTCCCTGGTTTCTGGAAGGGAGACTCTAAATCCTTGGACCATCCCAGGTGATGAAGAGTGTCTTTGTTATGCTAATAAGATAACTTATGATAGACCTGTAGATGATTTTGAACAGGGACTGGTCAGCAGAAAGACCAATGATGTTGATTAGAGTATTGGAACTCTGAGTTGGCCTGACTTCTGGGGAAAGAGAGGACTGGAAATTGAATTCAATCATGTGGTCAATGACTTAATCATGCTCATGTAATGAAACTCCAATAATAACTAAAAGGTGTAGCTTCCTGGTTGGTGCACACATTATTGCTGTGCTGTGGAGGTAATATGCTGATTCTATAGGAATAGGGTATGGAAGCTTTACATCTGGGAGCCTCCCGGATCTTACCGCTATGGATATCCTTTATAATAGAATTGTAATCACAAGTATAATGCTGTTCTGAGGTCTGTAAGTCGTTCTCATGAATTATCAAACCTGATGGAATTGTGGGAACCCCCAATTTGTGGCCAGTCAAAACCGTGGTGGCCAGGGGACCTTCTGAAACTTGTGGCTGGCATCGGAAGTGTGGGCAGTCCTGTGAAGCATTTTGCCCTTACCTGGGAGATCTGCACATACTCTGACTAGTTACTGTCAATTAAATTTTAGTTCACTCACTTTGGGGTGGAAACAGAATAGGTGGACGTTAAGATGACGTGAATTCCTGTCTGTAGGCAAAAGGCGGTTATGTGAAACCAGTTTCCACTTAATACTGAGGCAAAAAAAAATCAGAGAAAATTAAATGCAACTTTTAAATATTCACTTCTTGATTTCTAATTGACCTCTCTCTGACTTCCACAATGACTTTTTGGCCCAGTGTGATGGAATAAAATATCAGGGGTTTTAAAGACAGAAATGAGTTCAGATTCTGTCCTTGTCAGTTACTTGCTATGAAATAGCAGGCATGTAACTTATTCTTTTTGGATCGTAGCCACTTATCCTAAAATGAGAATATTAATGCCTAATTTGTAAAGCTGTTAAGAGGATGAACATAAAAAGGTAAGCTCTTGGTACGTAAGAGATGCACAAATAATGTTATTTTCTGCTGTCCTTTATTTCCAATTGCAATGGTTCTTTCTGAGAGAGATTCTTTTATCCAGATTTATCAGAAGGGAGTCAAAGTGATTGATGTGGCTTCACTGAGCTTTCAGCGAACTCTCTGACTTCGGGGGATATGCTAGCTCATCCTCTCAAAAGTCGGTGGCTGTTAGAGAGTTTTGTTCTAAGAAGAATTTTACAATAATTGAAGAATTTGTAATCTCTGCCATGTATGTGAAGAGAAAACATCTCTGCAATGCCTGCATCAGCTTGGCACCACATTTGTCACTGACTAGCTGAGCTACAGGTGTTTTGTGAATGATCTCAATGGCACCATTGCAAGAGTCATACTGTATACGTAAGTGATTTTTCCACAGAGACCAAACAAGTCTGAAGCCCAGAACGACAGCCAGGCCCTTGGATTTGTCCTTGTATCCTCAGCTTTCCTCTCCTTACTTGCCTTTCTTCCACTTTGTGGTGAGGTGGTTACAGCTGTGAACCAAATAACTGGCATAGTTATCTTGAGGAATGCTCCTGAATCATCACCCTCAAAATGATTACATGAAATGGTTGGGCACCATCTCTTTTGCGAATTTATCTCTTGTGAAGAAATGTTAATACATGCTTTAACTATGAAATACTGTGATAGAAACTTGTAGGGAATGTCCAAATAGGCTTTTGAAGTTTTATTCCACCTATTAGGCAGATAGGGAGACTGAGTCCCAAAGTAATCAAGTGACCTGCCCAAGCCGTACTATTTAAGAGAAGAGACAGGATTTGAAATCAAATGTCTTACTCTGAAGCCATTTTTGAAAGACTGTAACTTATTTCTAGGTGGAATCTGCTCCTGTTTTCTTTTTATTCTCAGACTCTATCCGATTTTATTTTTTCTAGACAATTTATTATGACATTTTTTATTCTTTAAATATAGCTTAGTCAACAGAGCTTATTTTCAAATTGTTTGTGAATAATATAGTACTAGATACACTAAAGTGCCAGTCTACTGGCTTTAAGGTTTTTGTTGTTG